CATGGGGCAGCTGAACAGAGTACAATAGAGGCAGCGATACTTGAGCTAAATGGCCAGGGAAAGATGGGATTCCAAAGTCTAGAAGCAAACAGATTCAGTGAAAATAGTAAAATAGTAGATAAGTTTTTTTTAAATTTGGAGTTGGGGATGTAGCTCAGTGGCAGAGCACTTGCTTAGCATACTCCAGGCCCCGGGTTCTACCCTCAGTGCCACACAAATGTTACCATATGTTGGGCATCACACAGAGCCAAGATTTTCCAGAACCCCAAAATGAAAAAAAACACCAGGAATCCTAGGAGCCATCACCTCCTGCCTTTCACTGAGTAAGGGGGGAAATATCCCAGGGCTGCCCCAAGTGACATTTCTATTAGAAAGCTCCATGTGAAGCCGGGACCCTGATGTGTGGTAACACCCGGTAGTTCCTGTCTCACAGAAGCCTGCCAGGAATGGGGCTGGTGCCACTGTCCAGGTCACAGATTGATTATCATCTTTTTATGAGGCACTAAAAAGCTCACAGATAATCCTGTCTGCAGCTAGCTTCCTCCCACACTTCTACTTTCCTTCCTGTTTCTTTCTCCCCATTCCCTTTTCTCTTCTTCCAGGTCAAAGATGGCCCCTGTGTAATGGTGAGACATTAATTTACCCAGAAGATAAAAGTTGTATACCTCTAATAATACATGAAGGATATGTGGAATATATCCTTGCTCATAATAATATATGAACAAGGAAAAACTGACATTCGCCCTTATACTGGAGACTTTAATGTATCATTAATTTGTGAGATCACAGATGAAAACATCATTAAAAATACAGATCTGAGTAACAGCTGGATTTAAGAGCTTAGAGTGCATCCATGTTGACAACTACTGATCTCAGGCACACCAGGAATGTTTATGGAATTTGTCATATAGTCATCGGTGGAGGCCAACCTTACCACATTTCACGAGATGGCATTCAGATAGGGGTGGAACAACAAGATTTTAACTGTGAGACTGATGCTAGTTACCCAACGGCCTTAGGATCCATGGGGTGGGCTGGGGGTGGGGCATGGAGGTGGTGGGAGCAAGTGAGCCATGGGTGATGAGCTGCACAGCAGGGCAGACCCGGGAGCCAGGGCATGGAAGCAGGGACTGTGAAGGAACCGGCTCTGGAGAATGACACACCTGGCAATGCCTGGTCCCATGACACAGGAGATGTTGACTGAATGAATTGCTCAGATTTTCCTGTTCTCCATTCACTAAGCATGGACGGTAATGCCTGCCCCACAGACTTATTCTCTAGGAACCAAGCAGCTTTTGTTAAGTTCCTGTCACACACCACGCTGGCGTTGGGCAGCTTGGCCTCTAGTGATGAGCAGGGCCCTGGTAAGAAGGGCTCTGGTGGTCACACAGCACTAGGTAGCCAGCCGAGGGAGTCTGGGCCAAGCAGTGCTTCTACAGACCTTGACTGTGTGAGGCGGCTCCCAGGTGGCCCTGATGTT